CACAGAAACATCCTATGATTCCAAAGCAGTTTGGAAATGCTATCTTCAAGCTACTCTCTTTCTTTTCATTTATCATGGAAAGAATAGCTAGCCAGACTTCAATACAAGGACTAGAATAAGAAGGAAAAGAGAAATTATTGTGGTCCACATGATCATGAACATTAATGCACATGATGAAATCTGTACAGCTGCTATCTGAAGACACTCCAAACATCCATACAATTAGTTTGTTGATACTATTTGGTGCCATGTCCTTCACAGCTGTCACAGATGCTGTTTCTCATGATGAGTTCTTACGAGGTTTTGTACAGTAAGTTATGTGTAAATACAGTAAGTTTCTTCCTCAACTTATGTCTTAAATCTCCTCAAATTGTTGACTTTATGCTCTATGTCCCCATGGAAATAAATCTTTCTGGAAATCTTAAGAAAGGGAAAGAAGAGTTGGGAGAGAGAGGGGGAAGGAGAGAGGGAGAGAGAACTGTAATAGTATGAGGGTTGAATCTGCAGGTAATATCATCGAGGTGAATACATTTCTCACTGATGAAATTTGCTTAAAGGGCAGTAATGTGATAAAAATAAAATGAAATTCATTTATGATTTTTCTATATGGTCTGACTATAAAAGTTAAGGGATAGAAGATCAAGTTAGAAGTATTTCTTGGTAGTAAAATGCTTGGCTAGCTTGTATAAGGCCTTGGATTCAATTCCCAGGACAAAACAAGGAAGGAAGGAAGAAAGTTCAATTTGAAGAAGAGGGTTATTTTATTTTGTACAATTCAAAAGTCATTAATATTCTACTTTCAGTCAAATTATTGGTATGAATATAATTTCATTTTTAGTGCAGGATCAAATTCACTAGCACAAGATTTGATAGCAGATTTTGTCACATTCATTTTGGAATTTTCTTTCTCTCTTCCTGTATGTCTCTAAGCTTTGAAGGTTGTCTCCAATTCTCTGAACCCTGATTCTGTAAGAAACTCACCTCTCCTGTCTACTCTTGTCCCAGATTCTATGTCATAGGTCATAGGTCCCAATGATAGGAGACCCTTTCTCTCATCCATCTCCTCCCCAGTGCCATAACATACTCAGGGGAGGGGCTGTCTTCTTTTTTTCTTTCTATATAAATTTAGTTATTTGTTTTACATCCCAATGACAGCTTCCCCTCCATCCTCTCCTCCAAGTCCCTCCTCTACCTCCCCCTTTGGTCTCCCAATCCAGTTCATTTTCTGTTTAGGAAAGGGAATTCAAGGAGCAGCCATCCTAAAACCTGAAGTTATACAACTTAAAATTCTCCTCACAGTGACAAAACATCTGAGAAAAGTAACTCCAAGAGGTGACGATTCACTTATGCTCATATGTTAAAAGGTTTCAGTGAATGATTAAGCACTAGAGCTTGCCTGAACCATGCTGAGGCAGAGCATTATGCTAAAAGGGCATGAGGAAAAAAAAGGTGCTGACCTATTGGTGCCCAGGTAGTAGACTGAGGAGACAGGGAGAAATTGGAGCAAGGTATAACCTCTAAAACATGGCCCAATTACTACTCCCCGAAACTGGGAAGGCTAATGAAACATGGGCTCAGCGACATTTTCTATACAAACCTTAAAATCCTACCTCTGACCCCCAAGGCACATGTCTGTCTCATAAGGCAAGACAGATTTAGTACATCTCTAGGAGACTTCAAAGTCTCCATATTTGCAACGTTACTCTAAAGTTCAAATCCAAAGCCTCCTGAAACTAAAGGCATACTCTCTACAGTGAACTCCAGTAAAATGGAAAAAAAAAAAGAAAAAGGAAAGAAGAAAGATAAAGAAACCATATTTCTCCAAGGTACCAAGTGAATATTTCTATTCTAAAATGGAAAAAACAAAAAAGGTCATGGAGTATTGAGAGGAGGGATAGACCCAAGTCTAAAATTAAACAGGGAAAGCAGTAATGAACATAGCTCTCTGAGACATGACTAAGGCCAAAATTAAACAGGGAAAGCAGTAATGAACATAGCTCTCTGAGACATGACTGTGCAGATCAAAAGTTCCAGCACTTTGGAAGTTGAAGCAGGAGTATTGGGATTTTGAGACCAACCTGGGCTACATAGTGAGACTACACACTTTGTCCCTCCACCTAAAGGGTTCTTTAATTGTATATTCAGTATTCAGGACAAGTAGCATGGAAATTCAAAACTCCAAGAGTATGGATGGCCTTGTCCCTATGGAAATGGCCACCAGTAAGCTGCACTCTACTTGGCCTCTCAGCTGGATCCAAAACAGCTTTTCTTGGTAAACATTCAACTCTTTCAATTCTAACTTCCTGAGGTCTCCATTGTATTTTTAGGTTCAAACACTGCCTTGTCAAAGACTCCCCGCAGAGATCCTTGCACTCTTACACACTGCCTGGCCTCCTAGGTTTTCATTTAAAGTCTGGATGGAAGCTTACATAACCTTGTAACTCCTACTTTGTACATGCCTGCAAAACCAGTATTTCATGAATGGTTCCAAAGTCAGTCCCCAGCTCAAGCAGTAGCTTTCCTTTGAGCCCCCACACCCACATCATTTAAACCACGGCTACAATTATTTCAGAGTACTTGGGCAGCTGATCCTGAGTAAACACTTCTCTAGGCTACCCAATGTGAGCAGTGTCCTATCAATGGAATTCTAAATGCTCACTCTTTGGCCATGGTGTGTTCTGTTGAGTCCTCAGGTTATTCCAGTCCATTTTAATTGCCTTCGTTTTAATGATGCCAACCTCTTTAACATTTCAGTGTGTCTCCATCTTTTCCATACTCTTCTCTAACATTTCCTCCATTCTTTCTGCTTTGTGTTCATAATTCTCACTGTACATTAATGAAATCATCCAGCAATATCCATGCTAAATCCAGAGTTCCAAATTGCTCCCACTCATTCACCACCAAGTTTCAGCTTAAATGTCTAAGTAACATTAACACCCATTTGTTGTGGTAGGTTTAAAAGATGCTACAAGGAAGTCCACTAGTTAATAAGAGTAAATTTAATATTCTATGGTCATTATTGTTATTTTTATTTATTTGCTTGTTTATTTGTGTCTCTCGACGGGAGTGGTGATGTATCCCTTTTATCCCAGCAATCTGGAGGCAGGAGCAGGCAGATCTCTCTGAGTTCAAGACCAGTCTGGTCTACTGAGCAAGTTCCAGGGCAGCAAGAGATACACAGAGAAACCCTGTCTCAAAAACAAACAAACAAACAAAATTATCTCACCGAGTTCTAGAGATCCAACGTCAAGTTGTTGGCCAATCTGGTGTCTGGCAAGACCCCTTTCCTTCACAGATGACTCCTCTTTGGGTGCTTCCATGATGGAAGGGACCCGACAGTTCTGAAGGCAAAGCCCTTCTGATCTCACAATGCCACAAGCTCTTCATTTCCTAATACCATCAGTCTGGAAAGTAGGACTGCAACATATGAGTTTTGAAGAGATGCGAACATTCAGAACACAGTATATTTTGACATTTTCTACATATTTCTACATAGGATTTCACATTAGAATTTTTTTTTCACAGTAGAATAATTTACCTGTCTGTCTTCCTGAGGCATTTCTTTGTGATAAAATATATCTGACAAATCATAATCATTAAAAGCATGGAGTAATTCACATGCTGAGGAAAAATGCCACACTATTAAACAGTGTTTCCACACATGTTCTCATGCAGACATATTACCTCAGCATATCCTTCTAAATAGCCACCCTCAAATCTCAGGTGCTATCTCAATGTTTAGTTGGTCAGCTGGAATGAATAAGCTAGTGTCATTCAGCAGTCCTCATGGCAAAAGACAACAGACTTTTGTTTGTTGCAGAGATGCTCTGTTCATTAGGCTCTTGAGGATTCAGCCACAGCAGGTCTCAACTGTTGCAATGCTAGAGGGAAAGTCGGTTCTGGATGACCTCACTTTGCTGACTAAAGAATCCAGCTTTGCAATGACACAAGCCATTATGGGTCACATTTGACTTAACCTGAGTCTGTCTTGTTTGCCCTCCCTACTCAGTCACAAAAGAGGAGCAAGTGTGTTGTCATTGTATGTGCCCGAAGACAGGAGAATGCAAAGCATCTGCCAAAAAACTATAATTATTTCCTTACTAAGAACCCGTGTGTCCTTTCATTGAAGCTGTGACTTAAGTCTTAGGGATGACTGTGCCTTGTTGCTACCCCTAAGATAGATATGAGTGACCATCCATCCTGTTTGGCCATGTCTTTTGACTCATACTTATACAATACACCACAATGCAGATTGCAAAAGAAATGTGAGCCTATTGGAAACTTAATTATGAATTCAATAAAGTTCTTTAATGTTGTTGGTCTTTGTATTTCTCTGCTCCTGGGGACTGAACCCAGTAGCCATTATTATTAATGTTTTCTTTTCTTCACAGTTTTAAACAGGTCTTAAACATAGGATTACTTATTTATTTGCTGCAATCAAGGCTAACACCTAAGTTGGAAAACACAGCAAAGTTCTGATGTATCCAAAGGAGAAAAAGATGTAGAAAACAGTCTTCATGATGTTTCTGCTATATTTTTCTACATAAAAATACATAATAAAACACCTAACTCCAATACCATTATGATGTTTAATTTCTAAACACCTCTGTGATGCCTATTAATTCAGAGTACTTTGCCTAAATTCTGGTAAGCTAACACAATTAGATAGGCCATTATATTTCTTGTAGAAAATTGTTCTTAAATCTTCCTAAAGCCTTTGGCCATTTATGATTGGAAGTCACTGCTAATTTAGATTTCTTCCTGTAGCACAATAACTGTGAGAGATCTTGGTGTCAGCTCGGTGGGTTTAAGTTATGTTTTAGTGTAAAATACAAAAGGTTAATTACTGTTCAGAACCTGACATTTCTGTGGGAGTAACTGCAAGTTATTTATTATCCTTCCTCTACTTAATTATGTTAATTGTGGTGGATTTACAATGTCAAGTGCAAGAATGTTAATTAATTTAATAAGCACATTTTTTATACTTTCTTCTGTTGCAGTTGACCCATCTTTAGTGAATAAGGATGAGGATGCCATCTATTTATTGGGAAATTCCCTTGGCCTTCAACCAAAGATGGTTAGAACATACCTGGAAGAAGAGCTAGATAAGTGGGCCAAAATGTAAGTACCATGTTTAAAAGTGGAATTGTACATCTGACAGAAGAACTTTGAGAATTACAAAAGGTGTTTGATTAGGGCAAGTCATACCCTAGAAATTAAGGACTAAGGAAAATCTAATTAACCATAATTATCAATACTATACTATTCTGAAGAAATAATTTAGGGTCAGAATAAAACTAAATTACAAATCTGTGATGGAGGGAAAGTAAAGCAACATATTTAAATATTTAAACCCTTTCCCTACACCTAAGTCAATGTAGCCATTTTACTTCACACACTAAATGACCAACAAAGAAGTTAATTTAAGGTGTTGAGTGTTTATGATTAATTCATCATTACATTAGCAACGACATCAAAAATATGGAATCCAGGCTTGTTAACATTAGGGTGGGGGACACAGATGATCATGGATGTACTGAGTGATATGTATCATCTGATCTTAGCATTTTGAATTTCCTATGGTTTTCCCTTGTGTAGATAATTAAAAACTATTTCCACTCCAGAGCGAGTGCCAGGATAGGCTCCAAAGCTACACAGAGAAACTCTGTCTCGAAAAACAAAAAACAAAAACAAAACTAAACAAAAACAACTATTTCCAGGCTTGCTATATATGAATTGTGACAAGCACCCATGTCCCCACTCTTGTATGTGTAGTCTTCTAGTGATAAATCCTCCCTCTTTCCACCCATTCTGAGCCCTCATCTTCTGGGAACAAACCTTCTGAGCCATTTGTTACCTCTCCCAATTGTCACTGCATTAATAACATATCTCTTTAAACATTTCAAATTTTTCATTAACACCCAACAGCTTTACATATTGATGAGTATACCAGTGTGATGTTTTTATATATGTTTATAATATGTACCAATCAACTCAAGATAATTGAGGTTCCCATCCACTTATCACAGTTTATTGTGAATTATGATCCCATCAGTTTTATAAAACACTAGAACTTATTACTTCTGTCTAACTGAGTTCAGATACCCATTTCTAACCTTCTATAACTTCCCCTTGAGTAGACAGCGTAGAGACATCTGTTATCATTACTATCTTGTTCTTAGGAAAATAATCTGATTTTATGTATCATCTCTCTTTCTACAGTAATTACTTATAAAACTGAAATGAGATCTATTTGTTAAGTATTTGAATTTTTTGTCTTAATGCTGAATTGTAAACACATAAGTATTTCAAACAGCCCAAGATGTTTTTTAAGTGTTTTCTCCAATCATTTAAAAATAAATAAATAAATAAATAAATAAATAAATAAATAAATATTGTTATGGAAATGAGTCCCACCTGATGGTGGTGAGGAGACATTTCTGAAAGATGAAGCCACATTAAATGGGAATTCTGGAGCAGGCCATTTGGTGCCCATAAAATCTCCTGTTTCCTGTCCCTCCTTCTTTGTGCTCTGTCATACTGGGAGCAATTTAGTTCTTACCAACTAAGTGAGGACAGCTACCTTGACTCTCAGGTAACACTGCAAAGTCCGAACTTTTTATGGTTAAGAATGAGAGCTCTCAAATTAATGCAAGAATGATGGAAAGCTGATATAATTTATTAAGCATGTTATAATTTCATCTGCCCGAGGACTTTTATGTGTAAGTTTCAAAATACACATCACCACATTTGAAAGCATTTTGGACTAGCAGGTTTTAGTCTTTAATGAATGAGGGTCACAGTTAATAAAAATGGTTGATATTCTTGTTGGTCCTTAATGTTTGAGAGCAGAGTTAAATTGGATGATTTTGCACTTTTGAAAGTGTCTTTCCCTCTTGAATACTCAGGCAGCCAGGCTTTGCATTTTTATGCTCTAGGTATTTAAAAGATGCTGCCCTGCTGCTCCATTCACTCCACATCACACCACAAACCACCAAGGGACTGGCTGATGATTGTTGGGATGTTGGAATTATGTTTCAGGAGACTGTCTGTCACTCATAGCATCATCTATTGTTGCATTTCACTTTCATATTTTACTTTGTGAACGTAGACAAAGCCAGAGCCTTAGTTAAATCCTCCTAGTGCTCATTAGACAAATGACTCACAGAGGAGTGCACTTTAAGGCTGAAGGCAATGAAAACTGAACTAAAGGCCTTTTCTGGGCAAGAGAGATCCACCCACTTTTGCTTTGATTGCTTTACTTTCTCTTTGCCTCAGCCTTGGAGACCTGGTCAACCTTATGGCCCTGCTTGCTCCTAAACAGCAGCAGGGTTTCAGATGTGCAGTCGTACTTCTGTTCCTTCCTCCCTCGCCTGCACATCTTTGATCCAAAAACAGTTCTTATTTGTTTTTTGCTCCCAAAATATTTAAGTTGAAACCCCACTCCTGGCCTTTTCCATGTGAGTCTGTAAGAAAGAATTTTTTTTTTAATCTTATCAACTTAGCTCCACATAATGAGAGGGCCTGCAAACTTCCCGACAGCTGAGAGATTATTGAGGGAAAGCAGGTTGTACAAGTGGACTGTGCTGAAGCTAGTGGATGTTCTGAGCTAAGAACTTCCAGGAAGGACATTAGGAAAGTGATTTTTCCCTCTAAGTTTGGGCTGTGACAGCTCTACCTTAAGGAGCCTTTTACTCAAGTTCAGACTGTTTCTTTCTTTTTTTAAAACTGGCTCTGTGTGAATGTGTTGTCATTTAAACAACCATGGCATGGAGCTAACCTAGGCTCTCAGACCTTTCACTTCCCTTTCTGGTGACTGTTCTGCTTTTCCCCTGTGCCATGTGTCTCTAGATCTGGGACTTCCCAGTATTGTAGTAAGCTTTAACAGATTCGATATTACTGTCTCTGTATCCTCCAGATCCATTTTTGTTCCAGGGCGGATAGCCAAGCCAGGTCCGTGACTCTTTCACTTCACCAATGGAAGAGTCCCAATCAAAGTAAAAGCTACAAGCTACATTATTTTTTTCCTTAAAAAATTACAGGATAAGGTGATAAGTTTCATGGTGGTATTTTCATACAAAATTTACTTTTGTTGATCCTCCTTCCTCTACTTGTCTTCCCTGGCCTCCTGCTCCTGGGCTTCTGCCATTCCATTTACAGTAGTTCCCTGGCATCTTTCATTTCTTATGTATTCTGTTACTCTAGTCCACAGTCACTTTTGTAGTTTCATGACCTATAGTCACATTCAAATTCATATCTGCTCTTATATGATAAAGTACAATAGTTCTCCTTCTGAGTCTGGGTTATTTCATGTACTATAATGACTTGCAGAGTCCTCATTTTAATATAAATTTCAAAAGCTCATTTTTCTTTACAGCTGGATAAAGTTCTATTGTATGTATGTACCACATTTTCATTATCTCTATCTCTTAATTACAAATCTAACGTGGTTCCTACAGCACAGCAATGCTCGTGGATAGACAAGTATCTCTACAGAGTCCTTTAGAGTAGTCCACTAATGGCACTGAGATGGTGAGGAGTGGCTGTCTTTATTTGGTGGAAGCTTTTTCACTCACCTCCTGTGGGCTTTGACTTGGAAGTTAGAGAGCCAGAAACTCGTGGTCACACAAAACGTGTGCTGAGCCAGTCGCTCATAAATTTAAAAAGTGAAATTCACAGAGCACAGAGGGTGACTTTTAGATACATGTTTGGTTATAAAGAGTTTAGGAAAAGAAGGGCTAACATCCTATACAGCAGAAACACAGCAGCCAGTTTGTCATTCAGCTGCTACTCTGGGAGCCTTGAAGGGACTTAAGTACAAAGTCCTATGGACTCTCATAGGGAAAAGGCTAGGAGGCAGCTAAGAGAGGGTCCACTGCTCAGTGAGTCCCATGGGCCTCCTCTCAATTTCAGTTAAGTCTTCATGAATAACCTTTGGTCAGGGCTATTCATTTAGGGAAAGAGAGAAAAGGAGAAGCCAGACCAGGAACCAGAACTCCTTTGGGAGTTTTGACCTCTAGCTAGGACAGGACCAAGGACAAGAATAAGAACTCTTTGTTTTCAGCATTCCAGTCCCTAAAACCACCCACCAAGTTTCCATCCCCTGTTCTTCTAGGTATAACTGGTTTTGTGATAGCTTTACTTTTAGTTCTCTTGAGAAACCTCCATACTGTTTTCTACAGTGGCTGTTTCATTTTCTACTTATCAGCAGGAAGTAAGGATGCCTTTCCTCTGCTTTGCCAGCATTAATTGTCATATGTTTTCTTCCTGATGACTATTTTAACTGGATGAGATGAAATCTCAAAGCAGTTTTTAATTTGCATTTCTCTGATAGATGAGTAAGTGAAACCGTATTTAAAATATTTGTGGGCTCTTTGTATGTCTTCTTGAGAACTATCCAGTCCACTGCCCTATTTATTGATTAGCAGAATTAGGTGGGATTATTTTAGGGGTTGTTGAATTTTTGCGGTTCTTCATTACTCTAGATATTACCATGGTGTCTAAAGTATAACTGGTGAATGTCTTTTATCATTCATTTTGCTGCATATCCTGAGGACCCATAGTTTCTTTTGCTATGAAAGCTTCAAATTTTCTAAATGGTATAATATGAATTAAAGTTTATTGTCTTGGCAAATGCAATATTAAAAAGCACAACCTTGACAACTGCATTAAAGGTATCAATATACTTTGGCAAAAGGAGACATCACTAAGAGCTATGGATATCAAGGCAGGAAATGTCATATTCTTATACTACAGTGCAGATATCCTGCCTATCTCTCTACAGCTTTACCTGCTTCAAATTGTAAGTGATCTTATACTCTATGACCACCATGTGTGACTTATACTAAGGTCAAAGATCAAAACACTTAGAGATTTTTAGTGCAGGGCTTTATATAAGTTCTAAAATAACAAAATATCAGAGACTGAAAATCTAATAAAGAACAGAAATATATTTTCTTACAATTCTGCAAAATTAATGTATTACAAGCCTTGGTGCCTGCTGAAGGCTGCTCTCTGCTTCCCAACTGCTGCTTCTTGCCATGTCACAGCTAATGGATGGTGCATGTACCTTAATCACCTTTTATAAGGCTGAGAGTCCTATTCAAGCTTCTGTTAACATG